TAATAGAATCACCACCGCACTCTCTTGTCTCCTGATCTTCTTCAGGTGGTGAGACTGAGCCCCACAGGTGAAGTGAATCCCAAGTCCATGCCCGGCGTGCACCTGGACGGGGCTTAACCCCAGTTAAACACAGCGACGTGGGAACAGAGATGATACTGAGAGAACAAGGGTTGCCTGACTGTGACAACACTGATACCCAACTCTTCCATGTTGCCAAGGTGGTGAGTGGATTGCACTTTACATTTTGAACTTAAAATGATAAAGTCTGCTCTCCAATAACCGAAATTCAGAGAAAAGTCAGGAAGGTGCTTTCTTGTATCTGAAGTTGTAATCAGTTTGCTTTGGGAAGATATTTTTTCTTACTACAAAGAGGAAACATTTTGTGAAATAGTTACTTAACCTTGTTGCACATAGCCTATATATATTTTTATCAAGCTCAAAACACGAACAAGTTTTAAAGTTTTTCCATCAGTGATATTACAGTTAACAGTCATGGCACTTATTAAATGATTTGTGATCACCATCTTTTCTCAATCCAGTAACTTTCTGAGTTGGGCAGGGGGGAAATGTCTGTTTCTCTAGTGTTGGAACCTAAGAAACACAGAAAACAGGTTTACAAAAATATGAAACTCTAAAATAGATGAAGAAAGTAAATCTTGTGACCAGATTATGTGTAGAGAAACTGTGTCAGGAATGCACTTTGCTCAGCTGTTTTGCTTTATTGATCATGAAACAACTTTGCTTTTGAGATCAACTCTTTAGTCCACTTATTTGTTTTGGAAAAACACTAAATCACTTCATATATTCATTGCACATAAAGCTAGGTGTTCTAAGAGAACCACTGTAAGGTGGAGCAGACTCAGGCAAAGAAGAACATTACTGTTGCCTTAATCAGGGTGGTGTGACAAACGGAAACTTCATAAATGATGGATTCCATTAGCTCCATGGGGAAAGAGCCCATTTTCAGGAGAAGGGTGAGCGGACTGCTCATAAGCATCAATGTGTAAAAGGCGCAATGTGTTTGAAGTATGACAGTGGGTTTGATAAACTATGAATGTTGCCCATGAGCTTGCAGGTGGGAATCTGTAAGTGTAAGTCTCAGTCATGGCAGATGTCTGAGGGCTGGTGTGTGAGGATGAGGAGTTTGGTCTTCTTCCCCCTGCCTCTGTGGGGTCCATGGAGTGGGTTAACTGGGGCAGTGGTGGGCTGAGCACTGACTCAGGGAGAAGTAAGTGATAATTGAACCCCAGGCTGGGAGCCACAACCAGCATCTTCAGTACCTGTCTAGTACTTGACTTGTACTCACTAGTTGAAAAAAAAAAAAAAAAAAAGTCAATTGTAAAGAGTTAGAAATTTAGGAGTTAGAAACTCCTTATTGCAAAATTCAGACTTAAATTCAAGAAAGTAGGGAAACCACTAGACCATTCAGGTATGACCTAAATCAAATCCCTTACAAATACACAGTGGAAGTGATGAATAGATTCAAGGGATTAGATCTGATAGAGTGCCTGAAAAACTATGGACAGAGGTTCGTAACATTATACTGGAGGCAGTGATCAAGACCATCCCCAAGAAAAAGAAACACAAAAAGGCAAAATGGTTGTCTGAGGAGGCCTTACAAATAGCTTAGAAAAGAAGAGAAGTGAAAGGCAAAGGAGAAAAGGAAAGATACACCCATCTGAATGCAGAGTTCCAAAGAATAGCAAGGAGAGGTAAGAAAGCCTTCAAAGAAATAGAGGAAAACAATAGAATGGGAAAGACTAGAGATCTCTTCAAGAAGATTAGAGATACCAAGGGAACATTTCACACAAAGATGGGCACAATAAAGGACAGAAATGGTATGGACCTAACAGAAGCAGATGATATTAAGAAGAGGTGGCAAGAATACACAGAAGAACTGTACAAAAAAGATCTTCACGACCCAGATAATCACGATGGCGTGATCATTCACCGAGAGCAAGTCATTCTGGAATGCAAAGTCAAGTGGGCCTTAGGAAGCATCACTATGAACAAAGCTAGTGGAGGTGATGGAATTCCAGCTGAGCTATTTCAAATCCTAAAAGATGATGCTGTGAAAGTGCTGCACTCAATATGCCAGCAAATTTGGAAAACTCAACAGTGGCCACAGGACTGGAAAAGGTCAGTTTTCATTCCAATCCCAAAGAAAGGCAATGCCAAGAATGTTCAAACTACTGCAAAATTACACTCATTTCACATATTAGCAAGAAATGTCCCAAATCCTCCAAGCTAGGCTTCAATGGTACATGAACTGAGAAATTCCAGACGTACAAACTGGATTTGGCAAAAGCAGAGGAACCAGAAATCAAACTGCCAACATCAGCTGGATCATAGAAAAAGCAAGAGAATTCCAGAAACACATCTACTTCTGCTTCATTGACAACACCAAAGCCTTTGACTGTGTGGATCACAACAAACTGGTAAATTCTAACAGAGATGGGAATACCAGACCAGCTGACCTGCCTCTTGAGAAATCTGTATGCAGGTCAAGAAGCAACATTTAGAACCGGACATGGAACAACAGACTGGTTCCAAGTTGGGAAAGGAGTACATCAAGGCTGTATGTTGTCACCCTGCTTATTTAACTTATATTCAGAGTTCATCATGCAAAATGCCAGGCTGAATGAAGCACAAGCTGAAATCAAGATGGCCAGGAGAAATATCAATAATCTCAGATAGGCAGATGACACCACCATTATGGCAGAACATGAAGAGGAACTAGAGTCTCTTGATGAAGGTGAAAGAGGAGAGTGAAAAAGCTGGCTTAAAGCTCAACATTCAAAAACCTAAGATCATGGCATCCAGTCCCATCACTTCATGGCAAATAGATGGGGAAACAATGGAAACAGTGGCTGACTTTATTTTTGGGGGGACTCCAAAATCACTGCAGATGGTGACTATAGCCATGAAATTAAAAGACGCTTGCTCCTTGGAAGAAAAGCCATGACCAACCTAGACAGCATATTAAGAAGCAGAGACATTACTTTGCCGACAAAGGTCTGTCTAGTCAAAGCTATGGTTTTTGCAGTGGTCATGTGTGGACGTGACAGTTGGACCGTGAAGAAAGCTGAGCACCGAGGAAGTGATGCTGATGCTCTTGAACTGTGGTGTTGGAGAAGACTCTTGAGAGTCCCTTGATAGTCATTGTTGTTCAGTCCCTAAGTTGCATGTGACTCTTTGTGACACTGTGGGCTGCACAGTCCAGGATCTCCGTCCTTCACTGTCTTCTAGACTTTATCTAATTATATCAGGTCACCCCAAAGCTGCCTGTTTGAACCATGATAGATGAGTCTCATCTAAAATTAGCTGTGCTTTGACATGTCAATAATTTACAGTGGTGGGCATTTAAAAACACTGCAACAAAGCACCTTATTGTCCTTATATAGGGGTGTGATTGAGGATGATATAGAGATACTTTAAAAGCCATTTTTTTAAATGAGGTAGCAAAATGAAAATGACTCGTCTGTTGGCTTTTAGTTTCAGGTAAAGAAATAAATTGAACCTTAGTCACAAATGTGGTTTATTGCGAAGACACTATAATCACCTAGGTAGGCATGCTTTCTGCTTTCCCTGGGAATTAGGAAGCTCTCAGTCATGTCCACAGTCCATCATTAGTAAACGAGAAAGCTGAAAGAATAAATTGTGATGCTCACTTGCTTACCTCTCCTTAGTTTAATTTGTGCTGCATTTATTTTTTGAAAGCCACCTGAGCAATATTTGGAATGAGATTGGATGTAATTAATTTAATAATTGATTTAGTAGTGGGAAATGATATAATTTAGTTAGTGCTCAACAAATACATGTTTTTGTATGTACTAATTTAACTCACATGTACTTTTTACTTACCATATACAGGGTAAAGACTAATTTCAAAACATTTTTTAGAGATAAACTCAGGGTTTCAGTTGATATGCAAATGATTTCTGAGCTGTTGAGCTGCACTCATTAAAATTGGCAAGAACTGGGGAGATTCATTATATATTATTATTTTGTACATCTGTGAATATAGTCTACAAAAGAAACATGAGATATATTCCATTATCTACCCTCTGTATTATATAAGCTTACTTCAGGCTTAAGTACTCAAAGAACGAAAAAGAAAGTTAGTCACCCCATGGATGGTAGCCCACCAGGCTTGTTTGTGGGATTCTCCAGGCAAGAATACTGGAGTGGGTTGCCATTTCCTTCTCCAGGGGATCTTACCAACCCAGGAATGAAACCCAGGTCTCCCGCATTGCAGGCAGACTCTTTACTGACTGAGCTACCAGGGAAGCAAGTCATGTGTAAAACCTCTGATCTGTAAGCTGGGAAAAAAAGATGTCCATACATAAAATAAGTCCATGCAAAGTGGCAATGTGATGCAAATGGTAAGAAAAGTTGCATATCAGGTGATGCTCAAATTGGTGGTGAAAGCAGGCAATGGAAGGATCTAGAGTCACAGACAGAGCCTTCTTCCTGAGATGAGGTCGGTGGTGAGACAGTGCGCTTCTCACGATGAGCTCGGATAAACACCTCTGCTTCCAGTAGGAGCAGCCTTCTTCATGCTCCCGAGCTGGTTCCATCCACCCTCCCCCACGCATAAATCGCACTGACTCCTCTGTCACACGATGTGATGTGTAATTATGTGTGTGCTCGTTGACTGATTCCCCACAGCGTGATGTGTGAACTGCATCCGTGATTCATACATGGATTTATGCACACATCATTCGGGTGGCTTACCTATGGGATGTTTATCAACAGTGAAGTGCTGGACAGCCCAACACCTGTCTTTTAGTAAACACATTAATTATCTGAGTTTGAATTAATTCCTGCACAATGTCAGAATTGAGATATCTTGTGGGGAAAATGAGCAAACGCCTTGGAGACCCTTCACACCTCAGACCATGTCCTTCTGGCCCCTTGGGACCACTGAGGAGCTTCTCAGTGGCTCTGCACTGTTGCCATGCCGAGTACAGAACGCGGTGCCGGTTTCCTCCCCCCAGCCGGGGTCCTGAGGACGGCACCGCAGCCCGCGTGCAGAGCCCAGGAGACGCCGGCTGCTGAGCACGCAGTCACCTTCACTGAAGGTCTGTCTGTCAGGAAGCCTGCTGAGGGCTGGGTCACTGAGGCCACGTAATAGTGGCCGCCACTGGAGGACAGTGCATTTTCAGGTCTCTAATAAACTAAGTGTAAGCATGATCTCCATGAACCTTCAGTTAACTACAGTAATATGTTAGTGATTCTTCATGCATTATCTTAGAAGTAATGCTCACTTATTTCAAATATACATATGAACATAGACATACACATGCAGACATGCATGTGTACTGCATACCTATTTGTATTTTATATAAGCCTGGTCACTTGGGGGCTCTTGTCTTGATAGCATGTATCACTTTAACCAGTGCCATAAATCTAGGATCTGTACACTGTTTCAGTTCTCAGTTTATATATCAGACAACTGTAGCTTAACGAAGCTTAAAAATCATGCCCTCATCACCTGCTAGTAGTGATGTGATATAAAGCTCTTTTTCCACAACTGTCAGGGAAATATAGAGAATTTCTCTGGTTCTGGGATTGCTTTTGTATTTTTAATAGAAAAAAAAAGGGGGAGATGCAGGGTTAAAAACCCCAGTAAGTGATGAAACAATTGGACAATCACTGTACGACACTGCAGTCCATCTTCAGTAATGAAATGATCTCAGACCTTCATTTACTCCAAGATTGTACAAATTAATGAAATAAATGACTTTAATTAAGTACTCTAAAGTATTTTACATAGTCTACTTCATATGTTTCCCATTTCTTTCTCCAACATGAAAAAGAGATAGATTGTGGAAAAATGAATTGATGATGAAAGGTAACCACCCTAGCTTTCCATGGGAAAAGGATCACACACATACATGAGAAGGCTTAGAAGTGAAAGCGTTCTACTGACTGCTCTTTGGGTGATACTGGAGAGTGTTCACAGCCAACCACTGACCCAGACTCATCTTCTGAGAAATGTCAAGGTTAAGATAATGGTCATTTTTATATTATAGGAAATGGTGACCGAAACTTGGGGCTCTAGCAAAGCCCTGGGTCAGCATCCTGAGCACCTGTCCCGTCCCCAGTGGACATTCAGAGGTGCTGTTACAGCACTGTCTCCTCAGCACACTCCTGTGGTGAAAACAAGGAGTTCAAGGCCATTCCATCACACAGACATCCTCACCCTCTTTTCTTCCCACATGGAGGAAGCGGGTGAGGAGAGGGAGGTGGGCCACACAGTATTCCTAATCCTCCCAATTCTGACATGAGGTTCTGCAGTGCAGTTCACTATGGCTTCAAAACCGTTTCTTCTGGAAAAACAAAGGACAACAAATTTTTGTTACATTTGTGTTTTTTGTTTGCAAAACAAAGAGACTGAATTAAGTCTCACTGTGCGTGTTGTCTCGACAGCCTGGTTTCTTACCATCAGTGAAACATCCTTATATGCCTCTAGAGAGATAAACCCTTTATGGCAACACCCAAAAGGATTTTAAAAAATGAATCCACTGGGAAGACCCAGAGGGATCGGGTAGAGAGGGAGGTGGGAGGGGGGATCGGGATGGGGGATACATGTAAATCCATGGCTGATTCATGTCAATGTATGACAAAACCCACTACAATATTGTAAAGTAGTTAGCCTCCAACTAATAAAAATAAATGAAAAAAAAAAAGAACCCAAAATACACAGTGTTGTTTTTAGGCTTTGTGAGCAGAGGCATTTCCAAAGTGGCATCATTTCTGAAAACTATGTTCCTCTCCTCCCAATAAGCGTCAGTAACAGGACACCAAGTCCACCCATCCTGTGGACTCTGCTCCCTGTTACAAGTAGTGTCCTCAGAGTCCCCACGTGCACATTACAAGTGTAACAGTAAATGTCTGTTATAATATGTGTGCACTATCATAGAATAGTGATATTGTTTATATGTGATATTGTTTATTGTGTATTGGCAGGCATACCAATACATACAACCAATTTTCAGGAACTGTAAAAGCATTCATTTTGTCAAGGATCAGAGTCCACACAGCACGCATGTGCACGTGTGCGCACACACACACACACAGTTTTATAGCACTATTATTTTATGTATCCATTAAATTAGTGTTTTAAGTGGCTACTCGTTCCTGAGAGCTCTGCTGGGCACAGAACACAGGGGTGATAAGGTACTCTCTCCCAGATAAAGCACTTTTCTGAGGATGGGGACTCCGTTTCAGGTGAAGGGATCTCTCCATAGTGTGGGATGAAGATAGCATCATTGGAGTGTGGGCAAGAGGTGAGCCATTTTAGAGAACAGGGGACCACCCATGGTGACTCTGAACAAGTGTTCGCAGGCAGGCACACTGGCCACTATTTCTCTCCCTCGGCCAGAGGCTGTCCCTGCTCCCTTGGACAGAGGGGATGGAGCACAGATAACACGCAGTGAGCGTCGAAGGGGAGATATCAATACAAGTAACCTTCCCTGAGAGCATTTACTTTAGAGAACCTGTAACCATGTTCTCCGTCTTCCGAAGAGTACGTAAATCTTTCTAAATAAGTCTACCAGCATCAGATGCAGGAATACGCTTCTCAAGCACAAGGGCGTTAACACTTTGAAATGTCACCATCAGGGACATGACACCCTGTCTCCTAGGCTGTGTGGGTCAACGTTCCCACTGAGCCCAGCTCTCCTGCTTCCCCACCAAATAGCTAGACTCGATCTGGAGCCAAGGGGGGGTCTCCAAAGGTGCAGACTTCGGAAGTTAGTTCACCTGAAGCTTCAGGTGGAGCTTCCTTGGTGGCTCAGTCAGTTTAGAATCTTCCTGTAATGCAAGAGACCTGGGTTTGATCCCTGGGTGGGGAAGCTCCCTTGGAGAAGGGAATGGCTACCCACTCCAGTATTCTTGCCTGGGAAATCCCATGAAGTCACAAAGAGTCGGACATGACTGAGCGACTAACACTTTTCTTCAGGTGGGTGGCTATGGAAGTCAGAAACAAATGTAAAAGGAGTTTGAGATGCGCTGTGGGTGGGTCATGCAGGTGGAGCTGGTTTTATGAGGAAGACTTTGCAGGGTGTGAAGGTCATGGAGGGAGCCTGGCTGAGTCTGGAAAGGGGAGGATTTGTCACTTCTTATTGTTTGAGTCTTTGAAGACAGGCCGGCTGTTTCTAAGAGCTAAACGAACCTTCCTTTTTCCTGTTGAACACTGGTTTCATGGTGTTTAGGTTTGAACGGAATTATAATTAGCATTGGCTCATTCAACAGCAACTGTAAATATAAATAATCAAAAGTGGTTTAAAATAGCTGGGAGAAATATCAATAACCTCAGATGACACCACACTTATGGCAGAAAGTGAAGAAGAACTAAAGAGCCTCTTGATGAAAGTGAAAGAGGAGAGTGAAAAAGTTGGCTTAAAACTCAACATTCAGAAAACTAAGATTGTGGCATCTGGTCCCATTACTTCATGGCAAATAGATGGGGAAACAGTGACAAACTTTATTTTCTTGGGTTGCAAAATCACTGCAGATGTTGACTACAGCCATGAAATTGAAAGACGCTTGCTCCTTGGAAGAAAAGTTATGACCAACCTAGACAGTATCTTAAAATGCAGAGATATTACTTTGCCAACAAAGGTCCGTCTAGTCAAAGCTATGGTTTTCCAGTAGTCATGTATGGATGTGAGAGTTGGACTATAAAGAAAGCCAGATGCTTTTGAACTGTGGTATTGGAGAAGACTCTTGAGAGTCCCGTGGACTGCAAGGAGATCCAAACAGTCCATCCTAAAGGAAATCAGCCCTGAACATTCATTGGAAGGACTGATGCTGAAGCTGAAACTCCAATACTTTGGCCACCTGATGGGAAGAACTGACTCATTTGAAAAGACCCTGATGCTGGGAAAGATTGAAGGCAGGAGGAGAAGGGGACAACAGAGGATGAGATGGTTGGATGGCATCACCGACTCAATGGACAGGAGTTTGAGTAAGCTCTGGGAGTTGGTGATGGGCAGGGAGAGGCCTGGCATGCTGCAGTCCATGGGATCGCAGAGTCAGATATAACTGAGTGACTGAACTTAACTGAACTGAAGTGCCTCATATGTAGCACATATTCAAAAAACAATGCTGATAGCTGTTTCCTATACAGACCTTTTTTCAGGTCTCAAATTTTCTAACTGCCAGTGCATTTTGCAGTTGGTGTGTATATTTAATTAGTGTCTCTTGTCTACCCCTCCACAAAAGCTAGTGTGAACCTAATTATGTGCCTTATAACAGATTCTATTTTAGAATTATGGTAATATTGTACCTTAATGTCAACTGTGAAAATTTTTGTTTGAAGACCCACAAGTAAGGAAACAGTATCTTCATACTATTAAATACAAAATGTTTTTAACCACAAAACAAAATGAACCAGATAGCAAAGCTCAGACTAGAAAACATAATATGAAAAGAATGCTGCTCCCATCCTCTAGCATTAATTACATTTTAAAGCAGAAAGAAAACACAAGATTTACACTTAATTAACCCAGCCTAGCTCAGGGCTGGTTAAATCTTTAAAGCCCACACAACTCTGGCATGTACTGGTGTCCCTGAGTTTCTTTTATGACTTTGCCATTGTCATTATGTAGGAAAATGAACCTGAGCTGTGCTTGCAATTAGTATCTCTGATGCTGGCCTGGGCTTGTGAGCTCACTGAGAGATCCCATGGGAAACCCTGCAGCCTTCCAGCCTTGGAAGAGCAGACCCACGTAGACGCTGCTGCAGGATGGCCTGCATAGCCGGGGCCTGCAGTCTACTGGTCACTAACTGCTGCTTCCAGCAGCCTGTTCCTCTTTGAAATCCATAGTTGTGTTATGCGTTCCATAGTCTGCAATGAGTTTGCAAAATATTTTCACTTAAAACTTTGCAAATGTTGGGAGAATTATATTCTAGAGGCTTTAGAGTGAATGACTGTTTTATGAGTACTCATTAAAAACTTAGTATGTTTTAGAAATATCAAATGAGGGGTTTTGCGAGTACCTCAAATTTCCAAACCCATATTATAAAACTAGAATGAAATTTAACTAAAATTAACAGAAAATGGCCAGAATAGTCATGCAGTTGTTAACATTTAAAGTGTGCTTTGGTCTTCATAGAAA